TGGAGGTGGGTGGTTCGAGCCCGTTGTATGGAACATTTCTTGCATTTTAAAAATGCTTAAACCGCTGGCAACTTTCTTCTGTCCAGCACGTGCTCTCATGGAAAGGCAGAGCGAGACCAACTTTACCCTCCTCTCCTCCGTGTCTCGCGTACATGAGGACGTAAATCAAGGTCCGCTAGGATTCTGGGATCTCTCTCTCTCGCTTGCTCTCTTCTCTCTTCTCTCTCTCTCTCTCTCTCTCTCTCTCTCTCTCTCTCTCTATCTCTCTCTCTCTCCCTCTCCCCCATCCATTTAGCCCTTTCCATACGCTTTCCATAACTGTCATCCATTTAGCCCTTTCCATACGCTTTTGAGGTTAAATTGGTTCTGTGATTTTACTATTACATATAATGCTCTAGTCATTCTTGTACCGGCATTTTCAGCCACTGGTGTAAGTATTTCTATAGATAGAGGTGAAGATATAGGAAGAGCAATTACTCTATCATAGTGTTCACACGGTTTTTATATCATTCCATTCTCTCTCCTCTGTTGGCTTATTAGCTATAACTCTTTCTTTTGTTATTTTAGTAATTGCCTTAGGGCTTAGAGCAAACCTTTTTAACTGATCACAGTCAACCTTCAAGTGATATTAAACCGCACCTTCTGGCCTTGACGCTACTACTGACATGCACTTTGCTTTTATGCATATTATAAACCCCACAGCCCATTGTTAGTGCTTTTGTTTAAATGGTCAAATTTTTACAAAAGAAATTTACAAAATGAAAAAAAATACCTAGGACAGTTACCCATTTCTGGTGTTCTTCATTTCCTCGTGTAGATCTGGATTTTCATCTGGTATTGGATTCCTTCTGCCTGGAGGACTCCTTTGACGTTTCTTGTAGTGTGGGTGGGCTGGTAGTGAATTTGGTCAGCTTTTGTACATCTCTAAATGTCCTTATTTCACTTCCAGTTTTGAGAATTTATTTTTTCTGGCATAGTATTCTAGGCTAACTTCCCCTGCCCTCAGTACCTTAAAGATGTTGCTTCTCTGCTCGCGTGCATTGCTGCTCCTGGTAGAGGCCGGCAGGAGCAGAAAGGAAACTGACACAATCCTCATCTTTGTTCCTGTGTATGTACAATGTCTTTTTCTTCTGGCCGGATTTGAGCAATGTTATTTTGATGGATCCGGGAGTGGTTTTCTTCATGTTTCTTGTGCTTCGGTTTCCTCAGCTCCTTGGGTCACTGGATTTGTAATTTTTGTTATGATTGAGAAGTTTTCAGCTATTGTTTCTTCAGACATTGGCCGGGCACAGTGGCTCACACCTTCTGGAGGCCAAGTCAGGAAGTGTTGAGTGAGGCCTGAAATTCAAGACCAGCCTGGGCAATGTACTGAGACCCCATTCCTAATAAAAATAACAAAGAAAGAAAATAAATGTTTCCTTTCCTCCCTGCTCCTTCTCAGGGACTCCTGGCTCAGGTTGCAGTGAGCCAAGATTACACCACTGAAGTCCAACTTGGGCTATAGGGTGAGACCCTGTCTCTCATGGAAGGGAGGAAGAAAGGAAGGAAGGAAGGAAGGAGGGAGGGAGGGAGGGGGGTGGCTCATAATTTAGACCTGTTAAGTCTGCCCTACAGTTCACTGATAATCATTTCATTTAAAAAAATTCTCTTTTGTCTGTGAGTTTCATTTTGCATATTTCCAATTATTCATGGTCCTATGTTCCCTGGTCATTTCTTCTGCAACGTCTGATGTGCTGTTAATCCCATCCAGCAAATTTATCATCTCTAATATTGTGGTTGTGGCGTGATATCGGCTCACTGCAACCTCCGCCTCCCAGGTTCAAGTGATTCTCCTGCTTCAGCCTCACAAGTAGCTGGACCTGCAGGCATGTGCTACCACACCCAGCTAATTTTTTGTATTTTGAGTAGAGACGGGGGTTTCACGGTGTTAGCCAGGATCGTCTTCATCTCCTGACTTTGTGATCCACCTGACTCAGACTCCCAAATTGCTGGGATTACAGTCATGAGCCACCGCATCCGGCCCCTCCCTCCCTCCCTCCCCCACCCTCCCTCCCTCCCTCTCTTCCTCCCTTCCTTCCTTCCTTCCTTCCCTCCTTGCTTTCATGAGACAGGGACTCATGTAGCCCAAGCTGGACTTCAGTGGTGTAATCTTGGCTCACTGCAACCTCTGCCTCCCAGGCTCAAACGATCCCCCCACTGCAACCTCCTGAGTAGCTGGGACTACAGGCACACACCACCATGCCTGGATAATTATTTGAATTTTTTTGGTAGAGATGAGGTTTCGTCATGTTGCCCAGTCTGGTCTGAAACTCCTGCACTCAAGGGATCAGCCCACCTCGGCCTCCCAAACTGCTGGGATTACAGGCACCTGTTTGTTTGCAGAGAGGAGCAGTGGGCAGATTTCAGGCAGGAGAGTAAATCGAGCATCTGTTACTCCAACATTGCCAGGAGCCGAAGGCATCTCTTTACGTGTTCTTAGTTTGACTTCAACAGAAGATGTGCCAATTTATCTTCCAATATATTTTTCCAACTCAGTGAGAGAGCCTTTTCCTTCGTGCTCTTGCCAGCACAGCAAAGTTTCTATACATCAGTCTGATGTACCAGTGAGGGGGTGGTGTCCACCTGACTTACCTAAGCAGGAGACGCAGCAGAAAGACATGGTGGACACTGACTGCCCAGAGATAATCTCTGGCACATGTTCCACAGCTAAACCTCCAAGATGTTTAGAAAGTCTTCCAATAATTGTAATTGTTTTCTCTGATGATCTACCTAACTGAGTCCAGAGAAAACTGGCTGGAGGGACCCTGAACTGCTTCCTGTCAAGAGGCTTATCAAATAGGAGAGGAAAGAATGGCTCCTTCTAGACATTTGTTCCTCTTCTCTTTTCTTTATGAATTGCATTCTGCTTTTGTTGAATGCAAACGATCTACAGACTGTTCTCCCTCCTAGACAAAGGTGAATTAGCACATTAATAACTACCTCTGTGTTATTCCTTCCTTGGTGGTGTTTGTTTTGTTTTGTTTTGTTTTTCTGTAAAACTCATCTCACTGGAGACAAATCTCTGGAGCCATAGGATCCTGCACCTGACCATGCTTCTTATGCAGACCTGGATCCTTAGAGTTATTGGCTCCCTTTGCCTTGTTTCTTTTATTGACTCTCTTCAGCAAAACTGAACTCTGACATTTACACCCTAAATCTGGCTCTTGGACGTATAGGTCCTTTTGCTTCCTGACTCCTCCTTGACCCGGCCCTGCCTTTCCAACCTCTCCATCTGTGTCTGTGCGCCTGTGTCTGTCTGTCTGTCTCTCATACTCCAGGCTGCCGCCAGTATTACCCACTTTCTTCTCCTCCTCTTCAATGTTCAGGGTTTACCTTCCTCTCTGCCTACAGAGTCCCACAGGCTGGGGGAGTGTCCCCTTACAGAGAGGGGAGCTTATTCCAGAAGGGGCCTCTAGACTTGGAATAAACCTTACAAAGAACACCCAGGTTTGAAAAGCTTTTTCTATCTTCCCATTACCCGAATTATTCAAAGGACTAAAAGTGGGAAGTCCAGTAGAATTCTTGATGTTGCTCAGAAACCTGCATTGGAACGCCTTCATTCACCGAGCATTGGGTGCTCACGAGGTGTGAAGCCTTGCTCTAGGTGAGTAGCTGCATGGTGAGCAAGTCCTGCCCCACCGAGCCCACATCTGGAGGCATCAAGAAGGGACCGGGCAGTGGGAACACAACCGGCTGCTGTCCTCCCCACAAGCATTTCTCCTTTTGGGCACAGGGAATGCAAGCGGTGAGCATGACAAATAAAGCATAGTGAAGGATGAGGAAGTGGCTGACTTCAGACCAGTAGGCTACAGTGGTCAGGTGCAGTGGGGTCGCTTCTGATAGGGGGAAGCGCAAGAGGCAGTGTGGGCCGGGGAGAATGTCGTGGATCCGGCATTCCTGCATCTTGCCTCCACTCACACGACCTGGTGTCAACTCGGAAATGTACCCAAACACACGACTTCTGCCCTCTTTGTCACCATGCCCTCAGGCATCTAAAACCTGTGCAATGGCACAAAGAAGTGAGGATACGCAGCCTGGGGATGGGGGCATTTAATAATGGACAGGTGTCTGAGGCAAATGTCCTCAGATTTCCAGGCACCACATGTCTCTTTGTGGAGCAATCAGGGCAGTCATCGGCAAAAAAACTAAAGACTCATCCTGTTCCACGCAGAGACGTAGTTAACCTTGTAACTGTTCTTTTCGGACCTTCATTCTTCCACGTCCAGATATATGGGGTCTTTGTTGCCCATCTGCTTCAAGTTAGATGAGGAAAATCCTGCCTGAAGGCTTAAGGGTTTGTTGGGAAAATAAATGCTATTTACAAAAGGTGCATCTTAGGCAAAAGCTCAGTTCTGGAGCTCCAGAACCTGCTTATCCCAAGCCCAATACACACCTCCTTTCTCTCCCTCCCTCCTCCTCACACCTGCCTTAGCTGATTCTTCAGGCTCCACATCTCTGAGAAGATGACAATCCCTAGCAGAAGAACAAGAGAACCTTGGACTCTTCTCTCCATGAAGCCGTAGACGCGAGCAGATAGCCTCATTCCGTGGCGGTGTGACTCTGAAGTCACTCAGGTTTTCTATGCCTCCATTTCCGCATTGTAAAATGGGCCCAATAGGAATGTGTTTCCGAATGGGTTGTTCCAAGTTTAAATGAGACACGGCAGTAAAACATTGAACCCCTGCCCAAATGCATAGTAAATACTCCAAGAGCATCAGCCATTATTACTATCATTATCATCGGTGGCCTCATGGTGGCTATTATCATTATCTACATCCATCTTTGAAATAATTGCATATCTTTTTATGGTATGGAGGGATTACAACATATAACATTTCCTAAGTGACGAACATTTATTATTACAAATATTGCTGCTGGGAACATATTTCTGCATTTTAATCATCACCTGTGGGTTTCTCTATCAAATCTTCACACACAATTTGGGGATGTTGCAAAACATGTTCCCTGACTGGGAATTGAACCCGGGCCCCAGCGGTGAGAGCGCCAAATCCTAGCCACTAGACCACCAGGGAAAAGAACAGACATAACACTCTCCTTGTCAGAGGAAACAAGAGTAGGTGAGGATTAACTTTCTAAGAGGAGGAAAGCCCAACTGAAAGCAGCTCTTTGTGACCCAAGGGGGCTGCAGGCCCGCAGGGCCCCAAGCAGTCACTGCCCAGCTGCTCAATACCTCCCACCTCTGACAGCCTGGCCGCTGCCTTGGGCTGTATTGAGGCCAGGCCACAAGGAAACTGAGCGGTGTTCCATTCTAGCCTAGCTGTAGCACGGTGTGAGGCAGAGCCAAGCACTTGCTGTCTTTCTGAGCCTCAGTTTCCTTGCCACCCAAGTGCGGGCTTGGCTCTCAGCGGGTGATGCGCGGAGTCCTTTTGGTTCCTGATCTCTGAACTGGCTCAAGGGGCTCTACCCATAAAGACATGTGTAGGGGTCCCCTTTTGCCCCCAACTAGCTCTATTAGTAGAGCATGAAACTGAATTGAGCGGTCTTTGGCTCGAGCTCCAGGTGCAGATTTAGGTTCGTTTTCTTTTGTTCAGCCACGCAATTCAACCGGTTCCGCAACTGAGGTCGGGGCGCGAGGAAGCCAAGTGGGCTTCACAGGAAAGAGCTCCTTGGTTTCAGAGACATTGTAGCTGTCAGCTTGAAATGTTCAGAAAGATTTCAGCGATAGATGAGAAGACTGGAAATTTCTGGATCTAAAACTAACATGACGTCCACCTGATCCGGCGCCCTCGCCTCCGATCCAACTCACAGCGGGCAAACCGGGCCTGGTTCCTAGTGCTCAGCGGGGTTTCAGGTAGTAATGGAACTCCTCCCGTGCTTCTTCTGATCAAAGATGCAGCTAAGTTCCCCCATCCCACCCCTCAGCTCCACTCCCCTCTCGAAGGAAGGAAGGAAGGAAGGAAGGAAGGAAGGAAGGAAGGAAGGAAGGAAGGAAGGAAGGAAGGAAGGAAGGAAGGAAGGAAGGAAGGGAGGGAGGGAGGGAGGGAGGGAGGGACATTTTGAAAACCACCTTTCATGTGCGAGGCGAACTTGCTGTCCCTACTCTAAGTAAACCAGCCGAGCACCGCCCCTTGAGGACACATCTACGAAAATCTTGGGCGTCGCTTTGAGTAACTGCATATTGCTGCCTATGACAGATGAAATTCGACTGCATCTCCACATTTCCGCGCCTCCAGCAAATTGCTGGCAAAAGGGAAGCACCTGCGATCCCTCAGGCAAGAAAACTGCAGATTGCGATACCGCCGGGCTGAGGGTTCCCCGCCTGCTCCCGAAATGAAGACCCTGGAGACCTATAACCGGGCTCCGGTATCCGGATTCTTTCCGCGGGGTATCCAGTTCCAGAACTAAGCGCTGGTATGCGGGATTCGCCCGACTGCTTCTCCCGGAAGCTGCGGCAGCGGCGGGTTTTGAGCGTCGGAGTCCCGGGCGCGCAGGAGTGTGGACGCCACCCCTCCAGGGCTGTGGACCCCGCCTTGGGGCCTTAGCCCTGGCGCCAGCTGTCAGGGCTCTTGGCGTTGAAAGGGTACCGACCTTTCTGGTCCTCCCAGGAACCATAGGACCCTCGCTGCCTGCCCTTCATCCAAGCTCAGGGGCCTCATCCCCGTGCTCTTTCCTCGCGGGCCCCCCACTCAGGGTGTCAACAGAGGTAGGTCAGGTGAGAAACCTGGATTTCTACACGCACCTGGCTACAATGAGATGGCGCCACTCCCCTTCCCCTACAGAAGCAGACTCAGAAAAAGGTAGTTAAAACGGAAGGTTTCGATAAAATCGAGAGTCTGATAACATAATGTCCAAAAGTCCAAGTTTCAATTGAAAATCATTAATCACACCAAGAACCAGGAAAATTTTATTCTGAATGAAAATAGACAGCAAATACACACTGGCAATAAGATGAGAGAGGTGTTGGGATTGTCTGACAAAGATTTTAAAGCAAGCAAACCTGATGACAATGATTTCATAGTTATGAGCACATTTGAAACAAATGGACAAATAGAAAGCCTTAGCAAATAAATACAAGACTTAAAGGAGGAACAAATGGAAGTTTTTTGTTTGTTTGTTTGTTTGTTTGTTTTTTGAGACGGAGTCTCGCTCTCTCCCCCTGGCTGGAGTGCAGTGGCACGATCTCGGCTCACTGCAAGCTCCGCCTCCCGGGTTCCTGCCATTCTCCTGCCTCAGCCTCCCAAGTAGCTGGGACTACAGGCACCCGCCACCGCGCCCGGCTAATTTTTTGTATTTTTAGTAGAGGCGGGATTTCACCGTGGTCTCAATCTCCTGACCTTGTGATCCGCCTGCCTCCGCCTCCCAAAGTGCTGGGATTACAGGCGTGAGCCACCGCGCCGGGCCCAAATGGAAGTTTTAGAAGTGGAAAATACAAAAACCAAAATAAAAAGTCCAGCACATAGGCTCAACAGCAGAATGGATGGTGCAGAGCAAAGAAATCCATCCACTGCAGATGAAAAATTAGAAATTACACAATTTTAACAAGGGAAAAATAGACTGGGTGAGAAAGTGAACTGAACCTCAGGGACCTGTGAAACTACCTTGAATGGTCTCACTTTCATGTTGTTATCTATGTCTGGAAGGGGAAGAGGAAGAGGACAAGGCTGAAAACATAAAGAAGTAAATGGCTGAAAGCTTCCCAGAGTTGGCAAGAGACATTAACCTACAGGTTCAAGAAACTGTGAGAAACCGAAATAAGATAAAAAACCGAAAGAAGTCTATGGCAAGACATGTGAAAAAATAAAATGTAGGAAATGAAAGACAAAGAAAATATCTTGAAAGCAACAGAGAAAGGTGACACTTTACCTAGAAAGGAAAAACAATTCTGGTGATGATGGATTTCTCATCAGAAACCATAGAGGCAGAAAGAAGTTGCCCAGTGCTTTTCAAGCCGTGAAAGAAAACAATTGTCAGCCCAGACTCCTCTCTCCAGCAGAAACATCTTTCAGGGATTAAGGGGAAGATCAAAACAGTTTCAGATTAAGAAAAGCTAAGGGAATCTCTGACCAGCAGTTCTACCTTAAAAGAAAGGCTAAAGGGAGTTCTCTAGACAGAAAGGAAATGATTAAAGAAGGAACCTTGGGACATCAGAAAGAAAATTAAACAAAACAAAACAAAAAAAAAAAGTAAGCAAAATAGGCCGTCCTTCTTCCTTGAGTTTTCTAAACTATGATTGACAGCTTCAGAAAAAAATCATAGCGTCATTCAATGTGGTTCTAACTCTCCATAAAGAAAATATTTGAAACAACAATAAACTGGGAGGGTAAAGAGACCTGCAAGGGAGGTAACTCATCTATCATTCACTCAAACTGGTAAAACAATGACACCAGTATACTGTGTGGTAAGATATAGATGCACAGACATATGAATATCTGGGAAAACCAAGAGGACTATGCAAACAGATATACTCAAAAACACTATAGATAAGGTAAAACACCATTCTCAAAGATGTTCAAGTCACCACAGGAAGGTAAGAAAAAGAAAGCATATCCAGAAGAAGACACCAGAGAGAACAAACAGAAAAGAAAAAAAATATAATGGCAGACTTAAGGCCTACCATATCAATCATCATATTAATTATCAATGGCCTAAGTACACCAATTACAAGACACAGATTGGCAGAGTAGGTTAATGGACATGACCCAACTATATCCTGGCTACACAGAGACTACCTTCAAATATGATGATACAGGAAAGTTGAAATCAAAAGGATGGAAAAAGATATATCATGCAAACCTTAGACAAAGGAAAGCAAGGCTGGCTACATTAATGCCAGATATTGTATATTTCAGAACAAAGAAACTAATCAGAGACAGAGAGGAACATTATATAAGGAGGAAACAACCAATCCACCAACTCCTCCCCCAAAAGTCATAAATGTCTATGCAACAACTGAAAATACTGAACAGAGAACTAGACAAATTCATAAATATAGCTATATGCTTCAACATCCCCCTTTCTTAACAATTTATACAACAACCAGATAGAAGATCAACAGGAATATAGAAGAACCCAACAGCATGATCAACCAGCGGGGCTTAAATTGACAATTTTAGAACACCCAACTACACCAGAATGCACATTGTTATGGGATGCATTGTGCCTAGGCCCCCAAATTCATATGTTGAAATCAGAACATTAGTAGCAACTAGTGATATACTAATTAAAATCACAATGAGACATTGCTACATACCTATCAGAATGGCCAAAAGAAAAGCTTAACCACATCAAGTTCTGTCAAGGATTCAGAGAAAGCTGGATCACTCATACATTGCTGATGGAAATGTAAAAGGTTACATTCTCCACTCTGGAGAATGTCTGTATAGTTTTTACTTTTAAAACTATATATGCAACTACCATACCACCTAGGAATTGCATTCCCTGTGTTTATCACAGAGAAATAGAAACTTATGTTCACACAAAATCCATGTACTTAAAGTTTATAGCAGCCTTGTTTTTAATAGCCAAAACTGGGGAAAAAAATGTATAGACGAGTTTCATGAGGAGAATGGCTGAACAAACTGGTATATATCCATAGCATTGAATAGTCCACAATAATTTTTTTAAAAACAACAAGCTATTGACACCCACAATAACCTGGATGAATCTCCACAGAATTCTGTTGAGTGGACAAAGGGTAATCCCAAAGGTGACATGTAGGATTCCATTTATGCAACATTCTTGAAAAGAATAAATTCTATGAATGGGGAATAGATTAGAAGTTGCCAGGGGTTAAGGAGGGAAGGAGGAGCAGCACTGAAGAGGCAGGGTCACGGCTATAAAAAGGCAACATGATGAATCCTGGTGTTGATGGAAATGTTCTCTACCTTGCTTGTATCAATGTCAACTTCCTGGTACTGTGGCATTTGCAATACATCTGCTATATTTGCAAATATTACCATTTTGGAAATATTACCAAGACGTTACCATTGGAGGAAACTGAGTAAAGGGTACAAGGGACCTCTCTTTTTCTCCTGAGTTCCTAAGATTGTATGTGAATTATTAAAACATAACA